TAAAGCGCATAGAGCCTGCTGTTGAGTGGAGATATGCACTATACAAATTTTATGCTTTTTATTATTATTATATGATTAGTTCTGTAAATAATCATTATTCAAATATGTAATGTATCGTGAATAAAGTGTGAGAGTTTGCATTTGCACCTGTGAGCTTTTCTTGCCTTTTCTTTCTCAGGTCTTCAGTATTCTCTAAACAGGCCTAGATAACTATTGAAAATTTAATTAAAATGATTTGCATTCCATAACCTTCTTACTCACCCGCTCACAATGTCAATTTTTGTCTTTAATTATATGCTGCTTTTTTTTTTGACACTGCCGTATCTTAAAATTGATTTTCTGTAGGTCTATTATATATTTCAAGAGGAAAGTGGGTAGAATTGATCAGAATTGTCATCCAATGGCCAATTGTGGTCCCCATGTCTGTTCTTTGTGTCCATGCTAAAAATAAAAAGCTTAAATGGGTGATTGGAGGGCACTTTGGTGTGGTTTGCTCTCATGCTATCCGATCAATGTCTATCATCCAGCGTATCATGACACATGTTTTTTAATGTTCACACGAAGGAATTGAGTTGATTCCCTTGTAAGTTATTTGATTAAAAATCATTAAATTTATTAAGTATCTTAACTCTTAGGGCTAAGATGATGTCTTCTATGCTCCCCAGGTTGGCTGAGCCAGGAAGGGTGAAGCATGGAGAAATGTAGGAAGGAAGTGACTGAGTAAAACTCAGAATAGATCTTGCTCCTGATTGACCTTATTTAGTTTAAAATCCTCAAATTAGACCCTGTGAATATAGCATCCCAGAGGGTCATGTATATATTATGTGGTAGACTATCTCGACTGTTCAGTGTAGGACTTCGTCATATATGTCTTTTTTCAAAATGGTGTATGGCTGACCTTTACATTAAACTGTCAATCTGAAGATTGTTTTTTTACGTCTTTTTCTCCACTTTATTTTCCCAGAGTGGCCTCGTTCAACCCGGAAACTGCGACAGCGATGCTGGTGGAACCAAAGAGGTCAAAAGTGCAGGCTCCTCGTGGAAATCTGAGGGTCAACACTTGGCTAGTGGACGCTGCTGATTTCCGCCCGGGCTCCAAGGTGATGCTCATCGGAGAGTTGGAGTTGTGTGTGCCCGAAGTGTTCCGGAAGTCTGGACCATGTGCTAAAGTCGGAGAGAAAAGAGTCTCTGAAGACAGTTCACAATTTGAAAAGATGGAAGAATCTGTGCAAACTTCAGAAGCGGGTGAGGAGGTGGGGTCAGGAGAGACTTCAAAAATGAACGTGCTGGGGGATGCTGAAAAACATTCAAAATTTGAGGAGGGGGGTTCAGGGAAAACTTCAAAAGTTGAAGAGGGTGGTTCGGGAAAATCTTCAAAAGTTCAGAAGAAGGGAGATTTAGGACAAAATTCAAACATTGAGAAGGGGGATTCTGGGAAAGCTTCAAAAGTGGAGGAGATAGCGGAGTCTGGGGAAATGTCAAAAGGGGATGGTATTGGGGATTCCGGAGAAACTCCAAAAGTGGTAGAGATGGAAGATTCTAGAGAAAATTCAAAAATTTTGAAAAGGGAAGAGATGAAAAATTCTGGAGAAGCTTCAAAAGTGAATAAGATGGAAGATTCCGGAGATACTTCAAATGGAGAAGTTGGACGAACTGTGGAAAATGGAGAGGTGGGAGTTCGCGGACAAATGTTGCGTGCAAAGGTGATGGAAAGATCAGAACAAATAATGTCAAAGGGAGAACAGGAGGAAAAATCTGGAGAATCAAGAGACCCCAGGGGAAAAAGCCCGCCAGATTGTCAACTTCTCGTCTTGAAAGCAAGGATGTCCAAGTGCGCCGATCGTCTTGACTACGAGCTGTACCACAGAAGTGTGGATGTGCAGAGAGGGTTCAGTAATCTTGTTTAAGTTTAAGTCAACAATATGAAATGTGTCACGATGTGGTGGAACCACGTGCTTGTCAAAATAATGGAATTGAAGAAATTGACATTTTTCTACACGTTGGGCTATTAATACTATTATTATCTTTTTTTTCTGGCTTGAAGACATTTTACTTCCATTTAAATTATATACATTCCTTGTGGATTTTTACTGAAAACCGTTGACCAAGCCAAAGGGGTTGGGAGCTTTGAATAACTCCACAAAACGACCCATGCTCAAAAACGCCCACACTGGGATTTGAACCAGGACCATTCGCTCTGTAGTTCAGCATGATACCCACTGAGCTAACAGAGCGCCCCAGCTGATAATTTTAGTGTTCCAAAGAAGTAGACCTATTAGTGTTCCACTGGTAGGTTCTACTTCTTTTCTTTCAACATGTTATTTTGGTCCAACCAGCTCTTTTGGTCTTCCACAGCACTATGTGACTAATGTAATTTATACAAATATATGCGAGGCATCATGGTGAAATCAGGCGCTCGTCAAAATCCTGAAATTGAAGAAAACAACTTATTTTTTTGCCGGTCTGATAATTTTTTCGGATTTTTTTTTTTTGGCTCAACACCTTTTATGGTCATTAAAAACATATTTATGTGCGGATTTTTACAGAAAAATAAAATGTTGATTGCAGGTACAAGAAAAGTAAATTTTCAGTTTCAAAGACTCTCAAAGTATGTAAATCACCGAATTTTGGCAGCCATTTTCTCGATAATTTTATCTCTGAAATTAAGCTACCCCCTCCTCCTTCAATTGCAAATATCTCAACTTTTGTTCAAGAGGGATCAGCCGGAATAGTTTTCATCATAAGCAGGACAAACAAACAAGCTTTAAATTGATACCCATAACTCAACCGACATGCTCAGAAATTGTCGAGCACCTGATTCCACCGCGTCGTGACACATAATTATTATATGTGTTTCTGTTGACCTGTCCCCGTCGTTTTATGCAAGAAAAATTATGAAATTATGCAAACTGAGCCCAAAATTGTGAAATTATGCGATTCTGTTAAATTTAACAAAGAATGATAAAGGAAAATAATAAGAAATTATGCAAAAACGGGATCAAATTTTGCTAAATTATGCCGGGTGCATAAAACCACGGGGACAGGTTGACTCCAATGGGCATGTTGCAGTTGTGTGAGGATGTGAAGATTGTCATTGATTATTTGATGCAAAAGTTATCATTAATTTCCCCAATGTACATGTTTTATCATTTATTTTATTTAATGTAAAAATAATCATTCATTAATTCCCTGGTTTAAAAGTTATCCTTAATTTCCTGTTGTATGTTATAATTAATCATTAATTACCTATTGTAAAAATTATTGTTGATTTTAATCTGATATAAACGTCTTTAATTACCTGAAGTCTTTCACTGAATATAAAGTACAGTGGAACTCGGTTTCAAGGAACTTGGATTCAACGAAAGGAGTTGGATTCCACAATTTTTTTGTTCATAAAAATCAATAAAAATAACTCGAATTCAATGAGCACATAAATGAGAAAACTCAGATTCAACGAAGACATTCGCTGGGTGAACTGCCCTTTACGACCAATCAGCAGTCTCCTTTTATACCAACACACGCGTTGTTATCACGCACTCATGTCTTAGCATGCGTCGGGTCGGACTGTGTGTGTGTGTGTGTGCATGTGTGTGTGTGTGTGTCTGGGGGAGGGTATGGGAGGAGAGGGTACGAACGGTCCAGGCGTGGAATGTCAGTAGAGATACAAACAATTTTTTCCCCGGCTACTTATCAATATTACAATGATAAGCTAATCTTGACATCGATCTACTAAGTAATTGCGCGCTGGACTATTAAATCAATATCAATATTTATTTCCTTATTCTAGGCTTTACACAGCAACATAACTTGTTTGACAAACTGTACAATTGAACAAATCGACCCTTTTGCACAGTGTGTGCTTGGTAGACTTCAGTGTATTTCCCTAGAATTTTCCAGCAATTCTTTGGTATCAAGGAAACGAAAATACCTCTTTTTTTTAAACCAAACTACTTTTGATTGAGAAAGTCCAATCCATTGCCTTTATATATTACTTGCTTGATGCTTGTAATTATCTACACAAAACCTCCTGTTTGCTATAGCGAACACTCGGATTCAAAACGAAATTGAAGGCCAGGCCCGGCGACTTTATTGAATCAAGGTTCCACTGTATAAAGGATTCTATGTGCACCTGCTTTGTCTGCACAGAAGATTTCTAAAGCGATAAAAAATGTCAGTGTAGTCTATTAAAGATTACAACGAAATATTGATAAATATACTCACAGTGATATTATTTTACATGCATTGATATTATTATTTCTTTGTTGTACATTTTCCTGTTCATTCTGTTTTCTTTGGTCTTCCCCTGGTACACTGTAGCCCGCTTAAACCAAAATCTGTGGGAATGCCAGACTCTCTACAATTTAGCCGGGTTTTTTTTTTCCATTTAAAGAGGTCACTCAAATAGAAGGGGAAAAAATCGGAGACTTCGTCTTCTTTCGGTTTAACGCTCTTTTCAGATTAATAGTGTTTGGTTTAAGCAGACTCCTCTATATGTGATGACAGTATTATTGACTCTGCGCTTTCTCAGAATTCCAAAGTTCTATCTGCTCAGTACCCCCCCCCCCGGGGCAGAGTCACTGACTACAGTGTCTTTAAGCCATTCCCAAAGAGGGGACATTTCTCGTTCAAGCATAGTAGAATTGTAAATAGGCTGACTCATGTCTCGCTCATAACTGTACCTGATTTACAACAGGGAACTGCTGCTTTTTCTTTCCTGATCCTAACTATTGTCATTTTCCTCTACTTCTTTTGTATGTTTGTCACTCTCTTGTGACCTGCTATTTCCGGGGTGCCTTGATAGTCGAAGC